TCTGCAGTCAATAGTTCAAGCGGTATTATGTCTCTTGATACAGGTACCAGTCACATCGTTTTACGTTGACGACGTGGATTGCTATTTTCTGTAAAATATATTTACTTCGTTTTGGAAATTTGACAGGAATTCAAGTATACGAGGCTTTGACGTATGTAAGACTGTATCAAATTATACGAAGAAAATTTAGAGGAAACGGCAAAGGACTCGCGAGCGTTATGGAAACTATGTTACTTGTTTTGTATACATATGTATATCTATAGATATTTAGGACTTTGTCGCGTGTTACACGCAGCGTGACATGACTTTCCTTAATTCTTCCCTGACTTTGTATTTGTTCTGGATCAACTGTAGATATCAAGATTTAACCATAGTTTGGGCGATTTCGAGTCGATCGTAAATCTAACCTCTAAACGCAGTTTACTGGCTATTTGTTTCGAGTTCGTTTTATACAGTCAGTATCAAGGGGGCCCCGTCTGTCATAGCCAAACGATACGGCACTGAAGTGCCTGGGTTATTGAAACTCTAACAAAAGGACACTGGGTAACAGCACCGAATTCGTAGAAGTTTAATCTGCCTCGATGATCTTGCATCCCAGGGATACGAGAAACGACTTGCAAAGGTGGTGAATAGATATCAGATTGTTCAAAATGAAAATGAACAATTTTACTGGTCGAACTGCAGAGCAATGGAAAAGAAAAGATAAAATTTCACTTTAACTTTATCTTTGACGCGAGCAGCTAGGTTGTTACAGTTTCTGGGTGGCTGATTTTTTACATGAGAAAAGTGATGCTTATGTATTTAATTTCCGTTGAAATGAATGGAATTCTAAAGATACTCAAGGGAGGCTTCTGCCACGATACTACAGAGCGATTTTACAATCGTTTTTGAGATCTTGAATTGAAATCTATTTTTTTTTTCGTAACATCACGCATTGTTTAGTGTGTTGATTTTTTTTTTAAATAATAACATCGTGATACGAATAAATCACATACAGCGACTAGCAGATATGCTTTTACTGCGTTCAAAACATTATACTTACAAAACATGGGATTGGTAGTGCTTTTTGTAATTCAGAATAATATAGAGTGTTCTACCCTTAGCGAAGTGTCATTTTTCAATATCGATATGACGATATCGATAAATTCATTGGCTGATCCTCTGCCGTCTGGAAGCGAGGAGATTAACTATGGTGGGAAGGTAGTTTAAAACTATCGAGGTTTACCGAACGTGACGTACGTACATCTGCCTTTTCAATTTAAATTATAAAAAGTGATAATCTTATAATCGACTCGTACTTTGCTCGTCACAATGTATCTCGTGGTTATATGCACTCTATAAACAATCAAGTTAAAGCTGGGCTAGTTCTTCCGACCACCATTCCCCAAACGAGTGGAGAAAATCGACCTACAGATATTTTAGTCTCTGCCTTTTTTTTCGTTGTTATTTTCGCCAGACGTTTTCCAGAGAAAATTGAATTTACCGCGTTGCGACGAATACACGGGAGAGAAAAAAATAAAAACAGAGAGAGAAAGAGACACGAAATAAACTAAAAAAAAAAGAAGTAACAGAAAACTACATATAAAAACTCTAAAAAAAAAAACTCTGGCACGGACACACTACGCACGATATCTCGAATGCGATTCGGAAACCTCGTTCGAAAACTATACGCCGCCTTTATTCTATTTAATTAATTTTACTTTGTACCGGCGGTCTTTGTGCCAGACAAAGCCGTAGATATATTTTCCGATCACGAGCTTTTGTATTTCAGCCGGTTACGTTGGCTCCACGTTTCCAAAAGGATATTGCTCAATCACGGTCCCAACGCTTCTCTACCTGCCGACGCTTCCGTGCGTCACCATACCCGAAGCACACAAGATGGACGTTCGCGTACCAGACAACGTGGCTCCATTTGCTTTCTTTTTTAAATTTGCCCGCCTTTTCTCTTAAAAGCACGAGGACTCTCCTGACTTAACTCGCTAGCTCGTTAATCTCACTTACTCGTTTCTCACTTTCGCTTTCTCGCTCGCTCTTATTTTTACACCGATGGGTGGAGCTTTCGACAAGAGGAAGTGCTTACCTTACACTTAGTACTTTTTAGAGCAAAGGAAAAAAAAGAAGTTACTTCCGTTGATAAATATCATAGTGAACCAGTCGATAACCAATATCCACATATTACCAATCAATTTAACTCTGTCGACACACAACGAGAGATGAGCAGACCAGAGACGACCCTCTCAATCATATTTAACTCAGATGACCAATCATCCTGTCACTACGGTATGATAGATTATTTTAATCAAGTTATACTCCACCTCAATTCGATCATCTTTCGATACTCAACATCCGGGAAAGAGAAGCTTCGCTCAAATTCAACGTCTTCGTTCTACGTTATCGACCCGTAAATAGATCCGATTGACCCGTATCACGTCCCCAATCACGTCCGGTATCTGACTAATTAGCGTGTTGTTTCAAATGTATGTAAGTACCGTCGCCATTGGCCTATGGTTTATTTCTAGATTCCCCTAATCAGTCCGCATGCGTATCAACGAAACGTTGTCACCTTTCGGAAATGTAATTTACCATATTTCATTCGCTCATTACGCATCGCTAATTGGTACAATTAGTCCGTCCCACTTTTTGCGACTTTTCGTATAACGGAGCTTTCGCGGTTTTCAATTTTTCTATGAAGCCACTATTCTGTGGTTTACTCTGAAGGAGCTTTTCTGTTTAATTTAATCACTCTTACAACTCGAACTTTATTTTCATTATACATTCCGCGGTCATTGAAGCTTCCCGAAAGCTTTTCAACTCTCATGTTTTTCATACGTCCAACAGTCAGCTACAAACTCGAATTATATCATGGACGGATGCCAAGTCTGTATTCGACTATTCTCCGAATAGTTGACTATATCGTGAACTTTTTCTTTCGCTTGCATTTACTTCAATCTTTCTCCTACGTCGGGAAACGTTACTCTCGGTATCGTCATTCTGTTTTGAAGTGTATTTTTTATAAAACCGTCGCCCACGTAACTGCTTCACTCCGCTTGCGCAACTGTTCAATATCGTTATATGTATATCAGGCTTTTATGTGTTTCCTTGCACCCCGTCGTTCAATGTATTACGCGGATTTATTTATGCAACGCAACTGTAGTAAACGCAAGCTGCGTATCTCAGCAGGGTAAGCTTCATATTTCCTTCTTCCTTGCTATAAAGAATCTCTGTGCTTTAACGTTGTGTCTTGAAAATATTTGAATTTTTTTTTCTTTTTCCAATGTCCATAGATGTGGCGGATGAGTATTTACAAAGCTTCTAAAATAATATTCCTGATGTATGCGAATGGTATATTAATTAAGTATCTTCCCTGCAAGCTTTTACATGGACATTTGTATAATTGGGAGGATTGCGGTATTAGAAATCTAATTAATAGCCGTATTCCCGGTGGTTATGCTGGAAGGTTGCTTAAACTGTTTCGCCGGAAGCACATTCGCAGCGCATTTCATGTCTCACCGACTAAACGAATTTTCTCATCTATTTAAGCTGTATTTACTTTGGACCCGTAACAAGGTCGAGAGACACGAGTAATAATGTCTTCGTGGAAGAGAGAGAGAGCGTCTCGAGAGAGAGAGAGAGAGAGAGAGAGAGAGAGAGAGAGACGTCTTTTAAACATATAAATTGGTACATCCTCGTAAATTGTTAATATAGAGAGAGCGTCTCGA